GTGTCTTCACTTTTGGATACTTTAAAATGAATTATTTTCCTGTTTGCATGTGTTGTGTAAGGGGTTTCATGGCACTTGCATTTATATTGTATTACTGGAAGCGTACCAAAAGTAAATGTGTTTACTCAACCAATTGACTATGTAACTTTTGGTTTGTTTCATCAGTTAGATTCCACATCACTTCTCTCCGAGGAACAGTTAAAGTGTCTTCTGGATGAATGCACATTCAAACATAAATCCATCATTAGACTTTCTTCAGAAAAAGGAACCAAAGACATTGAGGATATAACACCTGCATTCCACCAGCTTTCCAGATCCACCACCTCTGAGTCACTAAGTGGATCAGAAACAGAGGTCCAGAAAACTGAGATGAAAGATGCTCATGTGCTTGACAATGCAGAATGTGAAGCTTCTAAAGGCTACTATCTCACTAAAGCCTTGATGGGGCATTACATGTCAGAAGCTCTTGTCATTGAAGCAGGGAATATGAAATGCTTCCAATTTTCCAAAGATGAGGTTGTTAGTGACACGAAAGACTATTTTATGTCGAAAACTCTTGGCATTGGGAGACTGAAAAGGCCCTCTTTCTTGGATGATCCACTGTATGATATCAATGTGAGCTTTTCATCAGAAGACCAACATCTGAAACTCAGCCCTCCAGAGAAACCAAAAACAGGTGAGGCTTGGAGAACATGTTTTGATGAATAACTCTTAGAAGCATCTCAATATAGAGATAGTATGGTTTAACGTAGAGTAGCATAAGAAGGTATATTTGTAAGTCAGAGATGGTGTCAATAAGAACATGCAAACATAAGAACATATGTATCAATGCTCTTAGGAAATCAAGGTTGAGATTTATACTCTTATGAAATACATTATTCTTCATGGCAATTAATTCTTTCATCTAGAAAACAATGTTGATTTCTGTCATCTAGAAAACAATGTTGATTTCAGAGGAAAAGAGAAATCAGTTTAAATGGAGATAAATAATTTGAGTAGATTTGCTTAGTGTTTCAACCTCTAAACTTCAATGATGAAAATTTCCAGGGAATGAATTTGGAATGTAAAATGCCATAGCTCATTGTGGTTATATTAGTTTCAACTAAATATGTGCAAACTTCCTACCCCAGCCCACTCCTATATTCTCGGGTATTTTGTCATATCCAGTGTTGTGTCTTATAGGATACAAATACTATGGGAAGGATACAAAATATATAATACTATGGGAAGTTTTTGACATAAACAAATGTTCAATTATTTGTGTTAGAAATATATATCACAATTGGTGAATCTATTTAAATAGCTTCAACTTTTACCTCTAATATAGATTACTCTGAAATATATTAACTATTAAATCTATATTAATCAATTCCTTGTTAAATCTATAATCTATTAATTCTGAACTAACTCAGACTTTCCTTTTGACTTCTGTTTTTGCAATCTCTCAGTCCCCAAATCTGAGTCATCATTGATCAGCCCTCTCTCTTGTTTCCCACTTCCAATCTTCAAGTATCGTTTGCTCTACTCCTGCGGTGTCTCTCACTCCTTCCTTTCTCTTCCTGCTACTTCAACTGGACCAGTGCCATAACCCTCTTTCAGTTGCCCTGACTCTAGTTTTTCCTCTCCTCCCATCATTGTTGACCACCACTAAACTAATTTCCTTAAAGTACATCTTTGATAACCACACTTGTCAGCTCAGAAAACTTCTATGGCTCTGCACTGCCTATTAAATGAAATCTGAATTCTTTCACTTGCTGTTCAAGGTCTCCATGGTGTGACCTGAAGTTCTCTTCCTAATCTCTGATTAGTTACGTAAATGTTACTCAGAAAATAGCTAGTCTGGTCTTAGGAATTCCAGTGCTTTCCTAGCCTCTGCTGTTACTCAGGCCCTTTCTTCCCAGGAATATTCAGGTACCCTGTCAGTGGTAGTTGAATTCCAACCCATCCTCTCTGAATGTAACCTTTTCTGCTTCCCTCTGTTAAAAGTTTCATTTCTCCTGTGAATGTCCAAGCCCATTGGACATGATATGATCATTTTATACCCACTGCCTTGATACTGTTATATATACACCCACCTTCTTTTTCTTAAAATTGTGTGACCTTTTATAGAACAGATGTCCCATCTTGCAATTCATTGTTACATCTTCCATGATGTCCAAAGTACTTAAAGTAAGTACAAAGTACCTTAAGCCAAGTGACTGTTTAATAAATAGAAGAAGTTAAATTTATGTCCAGTTTTAGAATAATATACTAAAAATATTGTTCACATTTATTCTTTACATTATCAATGAAACCAGGTAATGTTGCTTAAGAATTATATGTCTCATATTCTATATAAA